TTGTTTTAGTTCCCTCACAGTCGGAATCTTCAAGGATGAAGTTCGGGAAGAGCCTGAGCAACCAGATTGAGGAGACCTTGCCGGAATGGCGAGACAAGTTTCTGTCGTACAAGGAGTTGAAGAAGAAGTTGAAGCTCATTGAGCCGAATAAGAGCGGCGGCGAGAGGCCGACCAAGCGCCCGAGACTCGACGCCTCTTCCTCCGGAGACGCCGCCATCGCCGCCGGCGACAAGGAAGGGATGTCGCGGGAGGAGATCGATTTCATTCGGTTGTTGGAGGACGAGCTCGAGAAATTCAATTCCTTCTTCGTCGAAAAGGAGGAAGAGTATATCATCAGATTGAAGGTAAAATCTTAATCGTACATTAATATTTACATATTCGTTGAATTGCTTCGATCTGTTTGGTTCCAAAGAAAATCAAATCTCGGTGACGCGAAAATTTTCAGTTCTTTGTTAGTTTTATTAGCTCTTTTCTTGGCAAACAAACAGACAAGTTAGGGTATTAATTAAACGTATTGTATAGATTCTTGGAAAAAAAAGTTGATAATGAGGGTTCGAAATCGAATATATTATCCAGGAATTTATGCTTTACAAGGAATTTATTTTTTTGGGGAAAATTAACTCAGCAAATAAACCTGCGCCGTTTCTTCTATTGTGCGCCGTTTCTTAGTCGTTTTTGTTTATTTTTGGAGCTTAAAATGCGCCTGTGGCTGTTGGGGTGCGCACGGCGCACATGAAATCTTTTGTCCTCGTGTTCTTTGTGGGCCAGTTAAACGGTTTTGTGAATTGGCTTGTAGCACAGTCACTGTTTTTCAACCACGTATATTTTTCTGTGCCGAAAATGCCCTTGCGGGGTGCCTGCTGGTCCGCATAAAGGTCTCTGCGGGTAGAATTTACAGAGAATATTCGGGTTGCTAAAGTTCACAGTCGACTCCGTTTTCTAACTTGTACTATTTTCAGTCCCAACAAAAAGGGAAAAAGAGAATTTTATTAACAAGAAAAGGGCAAGACAAAAATTCGCTTTGTGATCTATTAGTCCACTAGAGAGTAACGCTACATGATTGTGGTGTGGACAAACTAATTTGATTTAGCTATTAGGTGGGCAGTAATTGGAATGCTGATTTGAATTTTATTGATTGGATTTTTTTTATTTAAAGAGAAAAATTCAAACTATGTAGTTTAAATTGTAGTTTGAATTTGACATTTGAATGTGCAGTTAAAATTTTAATTTGAACGGGGAATAAAATTTAAATTTGTGTTTGGTAGGTGCATAAAGAAGAGAGAGTGGACATCTCTTTACTATTCAAAAAATAGTTTGAATGGTTGAACTTAAGACGAGCTAAACTCTAAGTTGTACAATAGTTTAACTCAATTCAAATTGAAAATGTAATTCAGACTATGTGCTTACCAAACAGAGTTCAAACTGTACTTATCGTTTGAACTGAGTTAAACTGAACTAAACCAGTAAAACAGACGAGGAGACAGTTAAATTGAATTGGATAGTTGAATTGTGTCGTTTGTCATTTGAACCACAATTCTAATAATTTTAGTGCGGTTTTTTCTCTCATAAAAATTTTAAATTTCTATTCAAATTTTCTGTCTGAACCTATAAACTACACAACAGGATCCATAGGATGAAAAATGGGTGCACTCTCAAAATAATGGGTCGTACAATAGTTACTTCCCGTTTGAGTGGAGTATTTAGTTGTATGACTTGTCAGTGTCACCGCATTACGAGAGAGGATGGGCTATAATTTCAGCCACATCTGTTCCAAGATATTGTGATGTTAAACTATGCCAAATAGTATTGTGGAAATTTTATAGGTTTCTATTTGCGTAAGCATTACACTGATGTACCATTATTCCTTATATGGTGTTGTCGTGTGCTTTTAAAATCATGGACAACTCCAGATATTTGTGATGCGCATTTGTTTTTGTCTGATACTGAAGTCGAAAGTAAAAAGTGCTATATTTGTTTGGGTCCCTCTTGTATCTTTCTATAATTATCTTCTAAGACGAGGATCTCACTTTTGGCTGTGGTGTTTGCTATTTTGAATACCTTTTCACTCATTGGGATTGTATTGTTATGTACATTGTAGACTTGATGTTTACTTTTGGTCAAATCCACATCCCTCCACGGTAGAATAAAAAGAAAGAGAAAGAGAGAGCAAATTAATAGGCCTGGAGTTGACAATTCTATGATTTGCTACTGGAACGCAGGAGTTGCAAGACAGGGTGGCAAAGGCAAAGGATTACAGTGAAGAGATGTTTAAGATTCGCAAGGAGATTGTGGACTTCCACGGGGAGATGGTTTTGTTAGAGAATTACAGCGCTCTTAACTATACTGGTATGCGTTCCCTGCCTTTCTCTCTTTGCGTTTGCATCTTTCATAGTTCACGCTCATCGTTTTCATTTCCACCAGTTTTATACTTATGATTTCTAGAAAGGTGGCGTCCCCTGTTATCAGTGGATCAAATCAAGTTTTTAAGAAAATAATTTCTGCTTATCATATGTGTAACAAACTCCTAAAGCAATATTTGATGCAGTATACGGATAAAAAAAAAGTTCCAACTAGAGCAAACATATTGTTAGTTGGGATTGTTTATTTTACTTCTGCGCTTTGGTCTATTCTTTTAGCTATGAGATTTACTTGTATGGTGTTTTGGTGCTAATATCTTCACATTAATAGCACATGCTCTAATTTAGATACATAATGAGAAAAATCTTGTTTGCATTTTTAGGTACCTATGAGTTGCACATTCTGATGTTTTAGAAGACACCTTAGATCTTCACAATCATTTAGACCTAGTTTCAATGATTTTTTAAGAGAGTTTGAGAGTCCTAGTAGATCGTGTAATTTAAAACCGATTGACATCATTTTTTGATCAAAGAACAATATTAAATATTGAACAATGTGCTTTGAACAGGGCTGGCAAAGATACTTAAGAAGTATGACAAGAGAACTGGCGCACTCATTCGCTTGCCCTTCATACAAAAGGTCCTGCAACAGCCTTTCTTCACCACTGACTTGCTCTACAAGCTCGTGAAGGAGTGCGAGGCAATGCTGGACCGGCTCTTCCCCACGACTGAACTGCCAGCTTCCACTGAGGAAACTGCCACCACCTCCACTGCCGATGAAGGGTGTTATCCCACGACGTCAGCTGCCACAAAGAATGATGGCTCTGTCATAGTCCCCAAAGAACTTGCAGAGATAGAGTATATGGAGAGCTTGCATATGAAGAGCACCATATCTGCATTGCGGGTTTTGAAGGAAATTAGAAGCGGAAGCTCAACCGTGAGTGTCTTTTCGTTGCCGCCTCTACAATTAGGCGGTCCAGAGAATACCTGGAAAAAAGTCCCAGTTCTGGAACAAGCAGCCAAGTAGTTTGGTTTCTTAACTTTACAAGACGGGAAATAGAACAAGCATATGCCCTTTTGTTTACCTTTATACATTTTAATTATTATCCTATTACATGCATCTACTTGTGCATGCCTTTAGATACTAACACAGATGAAAAACGCAAAACTTTAGATGGAGTGAATTAGTGGAATCATAGCTTTTGTATAATAAAATTAAAATATTTGATATAATAGAAGTAATACTATTATTTTTTTCTCATAAGATTTGTTTTGGCTTCTTCATGTTGTTATTCCTTTTTTGTTTTAGCAATCAGAACCAGAGAATATTTTGCGCCAACTACGACATTCTGTCTTGCTTTCTCACAATAATTAAGTGCTATAGCCATAATAGACAATCAAGTACGTAAAAAGCACTAACTTGAATCGATTTTTTTTTCCCCCTAGAAAAAAAAAAATTGAATTGAATCGATTAAATGCCTAAAAAGTTTATTTCTCGTCTTGGCGTACTACTCTAGCTTCACAAGGCAGGAAAATCTGCACCTCAAGTAAAAGGAGTAGTGCTACGATTCCGATTTCTATATCAATTTGTTGTTACCAACTCTGGCAATTGAAGTGTCATCTTTTTCTTCCTAAACTCCCGTAACGAGGAGATACATCTGCAGAAGCATAATCAATTTTCTGGTTAAATATATTTGGAGATGTTTTTTATTTTTATTTTTATTTTTATTTAATACTTTCTGCATTCAGTTCCAGCTATTTCTATGCCTTCTAAGTAGATACATTTGTTTATTATTAACTAAGATAGCATTATACAGTTGTTTATTATTAACTAAGATAGCATTTTTTCTTTTCTTTTCAAATAACTGCTAATAAAAAAAAAAAATAAAACTCACATGTTACGTTGAGATGCAAGTATGTCCGCTAAAAGCGGAAACTAATGTTGCAGAGGAAGAAATGAAATAGAGGAATCAAGAATTTTGGTAATTGCACTTTCATTATATACAATTGCAAAAGAATAGCAATTTTGGTACACTACTCTATGTGTTAATTGTGATTTATTAATGTATTTAATTTAATTTTCTTAATTAACCAAGAAATTTTAAATTACTTTATGGTATTCATAATTCCACCATTTTTCTTTTAACTATATATAATATTATCTTTTCTTTTCTTATATTTTATTTTTCCTTTTCTTTCTCCCATTTCTTTTTCTCTCCCTTTCGTCACTCCCTCTCTCCCTCTTTCTCTCTCATTCTCACCCCTCTCTTTGCCTCTAATTCTCTCAGTCTCTAAAAAAAATTTCCCTCTAACTCTCTCAGTCTCTCTTTCTCCCTCAGCTCTCTTCATCTCTCTCTGTCTCTCTCTCACGTCCATCTCTTCTCTCTTCTCCTCTCAAATTGTTGCTCTCGCTACTCTAAGCGGTTTTGGAACCCGATTCGAACCAAAAAATAAGGATTCTCAAGAAGTTTCAAAATCAAAGCCTAGATCAAGATAAAACACTTTGAAAGTCACTTTAAACTTTTGGATCTAGTCATGTGAAACTCGTGTTTTAGTCGAGTTGGGTGATTTTTGGTTTAGATTTACTTTTGAATGGATTTTAAATGTGTTTTGATGAAACCTTGATGAAATTTAGGGGTTTTTGATTCTTTGAACCCCATTTGTTGATTGAAACTTGGTTTTGTTAATTTCTTTTGAGAATACGTTGAATTGGACCCAAAATTTACAGGATTTGGCTTTGTTCTTCGCGGATAAGCCATTTTCAGCCTTGACATTTCTCCCCACCGGTCGACTGGTCACTACTCCACCGGCCGACCGGTGGAGTAACATTCCGCTGTCAGCGGTCAACCGGTGCACATTAAATCTGACCATAAACAGTTTAGGAACCCTGTTTTGTCCCCGAAACTTGGTGTAGAACCAACCTAATTTCATTTGGGAACTTAAAGTGAGTGGATTAGCCACGTTAATCATTGTTTCCATTCCATTCTTCTTCAGTGAATTATAATTCTCAAAGAATCATGATTTGAATTAAGAATTGTTTATAAATTCTGATTTTGAGTTAAGGCGCACTAGTATGATACAATTGTATATAATTAAACTAGGTTGTTTAGAGGGAAGGATAAACTCTAAATTGTTGGTTTTAGTGATGAGGCTAGTGGCACGATTGAGCTTGGAGCTTCAAAGAAAAGTGGAGCTGGGGCTACGAAAAGATGGCCACAAGTTTGATATCCGAGAGGTAGGATATTGTTCCCATATCTTTGTTAGCTTGTTTTAAAGTGTTTTGGCTATGTAAATGTTTTTAAAAGACAAAACATATTTGATAAAGAAAAGTATTTTAAGACAATAGCTTGATTATTGCTATTGATCTCATAATGAACTGATTTTAAGTTTTAATGAACATTTTCTTAAGATAAGATATCTTGCAAACTAGTAAGCCTGCTGAAGACCTAGACATGATATGGAGATCGTATCTTTGGGGGCAGAACTTGAAACCCGGACGGGCCACTACGGTGCTGATAAGGCCTTGCATTGGTCGTAAGTAATTTATCATTAAATTACTCGCTGGTTGCCTGAAATCTGAAATTTAAGTTTATTTACCTATTAGTAAAAAGGTTGTTTGGTTCCGAATGATTCTTTTGGGTCCGTATTTTTATTTAATCAATTATATATTTCACTTTTATAAAAATTTATCCTACTGGGCCTTTCGCTCATTTTTCTATGTTTCAAATGTATTTAACCCCACCCAGGCAACGCTAGAAGTGGCGCGGAATAGATGAAGGACTCGGTTCTAGAAGAAAGGAAGCAGTAAAGTATTTTCCTTCATTATCAGATTTATTTAAGGCATGTATTAAATAAGGATTGTAAACCTTAAATTCTACTAGACTGTGGTTGATTTTAGTTATTTACGTTTATGAACTTATTTATGTATACACAAGTACAAACCCTGTGGATGCCGGAGGTTGACTTTTGATGTTAATTTTAACAGTGATTATATTTTGTAAAGTCTGCCTCACTCTTTCTTAAAACTCGAGTTCCTTAAAATAGTGGGGTTTGTTTTGAAATACTTGAATATTTGGGATTTGAAATCAAATTTTGAAATGTTAATTGTTTAACCACTTTCTTAATCAGGTTTAATTTCTAAACAAGCCTCGACGTCATTAACTCCTGTTTGGGTGCATGACAGTTTGGTATCAGAGCAATGGTTTTTTTTCTTTTAAAAACCTTGGGATTGTACATACATTAATGATATCAGGAAACCACTAAACAATCTAGTTTTTTTTTTTTTCAGTTGAGAGAATGCCGCCACATTGTAGAGCTGCTAATCCATCGGCCGTGCCGAACGAGGGGATCATGGAGGTGATGTATGCCGCGTTTCAAGGAATAGCTACCCGAGCCCATAATTATCGTCTGGCTGGGGACATGAAGCAGGGGTGTTTTTGTGAGTTCAGACCTGGGTCTATCCCTATGTTCAATAGTGAGGGTGGACCCCATGAAGCAGAGTATTGGTTTGAGTCCATCACTAAGCACTTGAACATAATAGGGGTACCTGTAGAATTTTGGGTAGAGTTTGCAGCGTATAAGTTTGTAAGACAAGCTAGTACATGGTGGAAGTATACCAGAAAACTACATGATGTAAGCACTATGACCTGGGAATAGTTTGAAGAGCTTTTCAATGAGCAGTACTTTCCCCAAAGCTACCGTGACGAGAAAGTAATGGAATTCATGGGATTGCAACAAGGGGATATGACAGTGAGGGAGTATGAAGCTAAGTTCAATGACCTGTCCTGATTCTCGCCATCCTTGGTGGAATCTGAGCGCATGAAGTGTCTCAAATTTGAAAATGGTCTCAAAAGTATTATCTGGAGATCGTTGGTAGCTCTCAGACTTTGCATCTACCGAGACTTAGTGGCCGCAGTGATAACTGTCGAGCAGGATGACTTGGCTTACCTTCAAAGTAGGGAAGCCACAAACAGAGCTTTAGGGGGACCTCAGTGGAATACAAGGAAGAATTGCAACCAAGGACAAACCAGTGAAGATGTGACAAGTGAGAGTAGTGGTTCCTCAGGAAGTGGTAGAAGTGGATCCTATAGATACACCTGTCATTACTGTGGACAACCCAGGCACTTAAGGAGGAATTGCCCCAACAAGAACCAGTCCCAGCCCTAACAGCCTCAAAGGGACAACACTTATGGGCAGACCCGACCTCAGCAATTTGAGCCACCATTCCAACCACTGTTGCCAGCTCCACCACAATTGCAATTATTTCCAGCACTAGTTTACTGACCACCGAACTACTCACAGTTCCGACCTCAAACCTTAGGAACAATGCAATCTCCTCCGACCCAACAGTACAGGCCAGGGAATTAGAGGCCTAACAACAATGACAGAGGAAAAGGAATGGCACAGAGGCAAGCCTATACCATGGCAGGGGGTAGTTCTGGAGCTCAAGCGGAGAATGCTGTTGTTAAGGGTATGATTCCTATCTCACATTCATTTGCCCGCGTTTTGTTTGAAACGGTTGCTACGCATTTGCTAATATCAAAATCATTTGTGAAAACTTTAGGATTGAAACCTGAGAGTCTAGAAATCCCTATGTATTTAAATTCTCCACTTGGATGTATAGAGGTGTCCAGCATGTGTAAGTCGTGTGAAATTATGATCGAGGGTGAACGATTGAAGGCAGATTTAATCATCTTACCCATGAAATTGTTTGATGTGGTGCTCGGGATGGACTGGTTGTCGAACTACGGTGCGGTTATAGATTGCCACCGTAGGAGAATGACTTTCATTACCAGTTCTGGAGCGCTAGTCACATATCAGGGGGTATAAATCCAATTTTGGAATAGCGTCTGTTGATACACAGTGTTGGGGAAGACGCAACTTAGCCCGTTTCTCATTTCTTTTTGCTTTGAAAGGTGAATCCGACGTTACTAGAGAAAATACTAAAATCCCTGTAGTGGACGAATACCAAGATGTATTTCCTAACGAATTGCCCAGTTTGCTACCAAATCGAGAAATAGAGTTCTGCATCGATCTACTTCCAGGAAGGACCCTTATCTCCATCACTCCTTATCAAATGGCGCCGACCGAGATGAAAGAGTTAAGGAAGCAGCTCGGTGAGTTGGTGGAGAAAGGATACATCAGAAATAGTACCTCACCGTGGGGTGCACCTATGTTATTCACAAAGAAGCACGACGGATCTCTTCG